CTCGGACCAGGGGCCGATCAAGTTCTCCGTCGGCGCCGCCGCCGAGGTGCTGCGCGAGCGCGCTCGCGGGCGCGGCGACGGCGGCTCCGGAGCGGCTCCCGACGCGCTCGCTCGGGCCGTCGGCGCGACGGCGCGGCCTGCGATGCTCGACGCCCGTGCGGACGTCGGCGCGCGCGTCGCCGACGAGCGCGCCGACGCCCGCGCTGACGGTCGCGCCACGCGGAGTGGCCGCCGCGGAGCCGCGCGCCAGACGCCGGCGCAGAGAGGGCCACTGGCCTAACTAAGCTAACTAAGCTACCGGAGTTAGGGGACGAGCGTCGTTGGCTCTTGGCCCCTCGACGCTGCCGTGCCGGCTTACCACGACCACACGACGACCACACAGGGCACTTGCAGTGCACGTCAAAGGTCGGCAACGATGGCTAAAAAGCGCAGTGCCGCCTTGAGTTTCAGCAAAGCGGTGCAAGATGCCGCGATCGCACTGTGGCAGCTCATCGTCCGCGCCGCATGCGCCAAGAGCGATGACGACGTCGCGCAAACTACGGGCCTTCACCCGGGCCGTGCCACCGCGAAGATCGCGCTATCAGATGTGCAGGCCACCGTGTCAGAGGTGCTCGCGGCGCACATCGGCGACGGCTGGAAGCAACTCTGGAAGCAACTGTTCCAGAGCCCCAAGATTAGGAAGGCGTGCATGGGCGCCGTTTCGGCGACCGTCGGCAGCTCTTCGAAGAAGGTTTGGGTCGGTCAAGAACGAGTTACCGGATGGGGCGGCGCGTCCTTGCGCGTCGACGCCGTCGCCGCGGGCGCCGCCGTGCTTCGGGCGCACGCCGACGCCGACGCACTCTTCGCGACGCTGGCGGAGGAGGCGGCGCGCCCCGACTCGCCGCTCGCGGTCGCGGCGCGCGACACGGCCGCGTTCGAGGCGCCGCTCGCGGCGGAGGCCGAGGCGACGCCGCTCGAGCGGGCGCGGCTCGCGGCCGATGCCTATCGGGCCGAGAACGCGCGGCTGCTGCAAGAATCGTTGATGGCGTTGGAGTCGTACGACGTGAAGCTACTGATGAGCATCGCGGCGACGCTGACCTCGAGGAACCTCGACGACGGCCTCGTGCTCCTCTGCGGCAACGCGCAAATTGATATACCTGCCATGGACAGCGAGCGACACGTGGCGCTCAAAAACCTCCTTCGTTCCGCAAAGTCGTCCCGTCTCGTGGATTTCGAGGAAATGCACGCTTACATACTTGCTTCTGGTCGGCGCAGAGACGCGATTTACGCGGCGTCAAGCTTCGAGCAGCAGCGGGCCCTCAAGGCCGCCCGTGGGCCCGTCGTGCCAATCGAGCACTGCCTGGACGTCGTGGAGCCGAAGGCGCGGGCTGTCTTCGACAAGATCATGCTGCCCCTGCTCTGCCTCGGCCACGCCATCTACGTCTGCCTCGCGCACGGCACGCGCGCGCCGTCGCGGCCGGCGGCGACCTCTACCTTCAACGGCGTCGAGTGCGAGATCATGAGCGATAACATGCCCATCGACTCGAGCAACGAGACGCTGCGGTGGTGCTGCTACGACGACAACCCCGTCGTCTGCCACGCGAACGGCGACCTCCTCACGCCCTGCGACGCCCGCAAGATGCTCGTCGTGATCCACGCCTTCGACACGCTCCAGTACCCGGAGAACAACCTCTTCGAGGGCGAGCTGACGCGGCTCGCCCAGGGCCCGCTCGGCGAGGCCTACTGGCACCAGCTCTTCAACCGGGCCGTCGGCGACACGAACGGCAACCAGCTCGCGGGCGTCAACCGCGTCGTCCTGGTCGTGACGCGGGCGACGTTCGCGGACTCGGGTCTCCGGCGGCGCGTGCCGGCGTGGTCCGGCCTCCGCGACGGCTTCCCGCTCCGAGGGCTCTGCGCCAAGATCCGCGAGGGCATGAAGCTCAACCGCGCGCTCGAGGCCGAATCGCCGGCGGACCCCGTCGAGTTGCGCCAGGCCCTCGCCGCGCGCGCGCTCGTCCTGGCGCGCCTCGAGCGGTCGTCCGCGCGCGGCCACGTCTGCTTCGAGGACCCCAAGCGCAACTGCTCGAGCTTCATCGCCTACAAGGTCACCGAGGCCGGCGCGCTCGTCTCGCGGAACGGCGCCATCGGCGCGGAGGGCACGCCCCAGCTGCGCCTGCTCCCGAGCCCCGTCCCGAAGGCCATGGAGCAACTCGCGTCGCTGCTCGCGGACAAGGTCCGCGGCGGCTACGTCCTCGTCGACGGCGACCTCCTCAACCGCGCGTTCGGCCAGCACGGCTACGCGGGCGGCGTCGAGCTCTTGCGCGACGCCGAGGTCGACGCGTCGGAGAAGATGGCGAGCCACCGGCCGCGTTTGGCGCGCGCGCCCGCGGTGTCGACGGGCCCGCCGACGCTCGACGAGTCCTCCGTCAAGCCCGCGTCCGCGTCGCCCGCGGCCGCCGCGGCGGCGCCGACGCCGCTCGAGCTACGCACGAGCCGCGAGGCCCAGCCCGCGACCGAGGTGCCTTTGTCCGCGCGGCACGGTCCGCCCGCGGCCGCGCTGGACGCGGGGCCGCCGCCCGTGTCCGGCCCGCGCGCGGCACTCGAGGCCGCGCCGCCGACGCGTCCGGCCGTGCTCGAGGGGCCCGCCGCGAACTCCTCCGACACCAAGGCGCCCATGGACGGCGTCGTCTACGGCCCCGCCGAGGAGGCCGGCCCGCCCGGGTCCCCGGCCGCCGCGGCGCGCGAGGCGCGGCCGCGGCCCATCGTCGCCGTCGCCGCGCCCGCGGCGCCGCCGTCGAGCCGCGCCCCTTCGGCGAGCCCCAAGCCCGTGCCGTGCGAGGCGGCGCCGTCGCCGAAGCGCCGGTGCTTCGGCAACGTCGAGAACGGCGCGACGCGCATCGCCGTCGAGGCGCTCGTCAAGGAGCATGGCGCCGAGCGCGAGCACGCCGTGTTCGCGGTCGACGCGGCCGGCGGCGACTTCGAAAAAGCGAAGTCCATCTGGTACTCCCTCGCGGAGAGCATCGGCGCGCGCCCCCGCCGCCACGGCGCCTAGACCTTCCGCAGGCGCTGCTCGCGCCTGAAAAGAATGAGCCTTCCCTCCCCCCTCTGCCCGAGTCCCGCGGACACTGACTTTGGCTCCGCGTCGGGCTGAGGACTCCTCCCCCTTAATGTGTTCTGTTGCTGTTATGGTGTGCTGATCGACGCGGCCGGCGGGATATGTTAGCGGCGACCTCGAACTCGCCAAGTCCCCGTGGTCCAGCTCACAGAGGCCTTCACCGATTCTTCATTGAACAGATGTTGAACCGTATTGCGTCGAAGTGAACCTGCTCACGCTCGCGCCGTCGAGCGTCGTCGAGCCGTCAACAAGCCGTCGACCGCGCCGTCCAATTGTCGCAACACACGGCAAACATGCTGCGCCGCGGCGTCGCGCTGCTGCTCCTCGCGCACGTCGCGCGCGCCCTCGACGTCACGAGTCTCATCACACATTCAAACATCTGCTGCCGCTCGGAACGCGGCGCGCGTCGCCCCTCCTAGGTCCCTACGCGCGCGGTCGCCGCCGGCAGCGTGCGGACCTCGTTGTGGCCCGGGAGGGCGAGGGGCGCGAGGCGCCTCGCGAGCGGCGGCTCGCAGCCGCGCGCGGGCGCGACGCGGTCGCCGAAGTTGTGGGCGACGCGGCCCGCGCGCGTCTCCTTGGCGTGGAGGAAGGGCCCCGCGTTCGCCGCGCCGACGACCCAGCCCCGCTCGACGAAGGCGCGCGCGAAGAGGTCGTGCTCGTCGCCGCCGTCGAAGAAGCACGCGTCGTCGAGCCCGCCGAGCGCGTCGACGTAGCGCTTCCGCAGGAGCAGGGGCCCGCGGTTCGCGGTGTCGCGGACGGCGAAGGCGCCCGGCGGCAGGTCCGCGCCTCTGACCGCGCAGGCCTTGCGCGCGTGGCGGCGCGGGTCCGCGAAGTAGGCCGCGGCGGCGGCCGGCGACGCCCAGGCGCGCCCGCAGTCGTCGCGGCTCCACCACTGGTGCGCGTCGCGCGCCGAGACGGCGACGACGTCGCCCCAGGCGTCGAGCGGCGCCCGGAGCGCCTCGAACCAGCCGGGCGCGCGCAGCCGCGTGTCGACCTGCGCGAGCGCGACGAGGCCCGCGGACGCGAGCCGCAGGCCGAGCGCGTCCGCCGCGGGCTCGTAGAGCGGCTCGCAGGCCCAGGCCGCGGCGGCCGCCTCGAGCGAGCCGGACGCGCGCGACGCGCCTAAGGCCCGCGCGACCCAGTCCGCCGCCGGCGGCACGTCGAGCACGGTCACGAGCTCCCAGGGCACCGCGGCGAGCGACGACGCGAGCGCGTTCACGTACGCGTCGAAGTCGCGGTCCATGGCGCCGCCGTAGACGGTGGCGACGACGGAGACGACCGCGGGCGCCGCGCCGCGGCCCGGGGCCCGCGCGGCCCGCGCGCGCGCGCCGAGCCGCGTCTCGAGCTCGCCGTGGCCGCCGAAGAGCACGCGAGACGCCGGCGCGGCGTCCCAGGCCGACGCGTAGCACCGGAGGCTCGCGTTCGACGGCGCTCGGGTCGGGCCGAGCGCGAGCGCCTCGCGGGGCGGCAGCGCGGCGCGCAGGGCGTCGGTTTGCGCGACGCTGAGGTTCCAGGACCGGGCGGCGACGGCCGCGACGGCGAGCGCGAGGACGCGCGGCGCGACGCCCATCTACCGAGGCTGCGTGCGCGGGGCTTCCCCCCACCAACACTCACCTCGCAATGTGCGGCAGCGCTCACCTCTGGTGAGTTTCGTGAGCGTGTGCTCGGGTTCCAGTCCCTTCGTTCCTGCGCCGTCCACGACAGTCTGCTGAACGGCGGGCGGGGCAGCCATGGCGGCTCGAGGCGGGCCGAAACTCTACTCAAACGAAAACTTCAACGACGAGCGGGCCGCGTGCCGCCGCCTGTGACGAGTGTCGCCCCAGCCGGTGGATTGCGCTGCTCGATCGCGGCCGCCACGCGCCCGCCCCCGCTTCGACCCGCCGCTTCGCCGCCTCTGCATCGCACCATGGCCAAGGCCGGCGACTGGATCCCCAGCCCCCTGAGCGACGAGACGAAGCTCGTCCACGCCGGCGTGTCGCCGGACAAGGAGACGGGCGCCATCCTGACGCCCATCCACCAGTCGACGACCTTCGTCCAGGAGTCCATCGACAAGTACATGGGCAAGGGCTACTCCTACAGCCGGACGACGAACCCCACGGTCAAGGTGCTCGAGGCGAAGATCTCGAGCCTCGAGAGCGCCGCGGGCACGACGTGCTTCGCGACGGGCATGGCCGCGACGGTCACGGTCATGTCGGCCTTCCTCGAGCAGGGCGACCACTGCGTGCTGACGAACTGCTCCTACGGCGGCACGAACCGCGTCGCGCGCATGCAGTTCATGCGCTACGGCATCGATTTCTCGTTCGTCGACTTCCGCGACCTCGCGGCGGTCAAGGCCGCGATCACGCCGAAGACGAAGCTCATCTTCTCGGAGACGCCGGCGAACCCGACGCTCACGCTCACGGACCTCGCGGCGCTCAGCGCCATCGCCAAGGCCGCGGGCGTGCTCCACGTCTGCGACGCGACGTTCGGCACGCCGCTCATGCTCAAGCCCATCGAGCTCGGCTGCGACATGTCGCTCCACTCGACGACCAAGTACTTCGACGGCCACAACATGACCGTCGGGGGCTGCGTCTCCTGCGCGACGAAGGAGCTCGACGACCGCCTCCACTTCGTGCAGAACATGCACGGCAACATCATGACGCCGCACACCGCGTTCCTCACGCTCCAGTCCTGCAAGACCATGGCCGTGCGCTGCAAGCAGCAGGCGGCCAACGCCATGGCCGTCGCGACCTTCCTCGAGGGCCACGCCAAGGTCGAGACCGTGCGCTACCCGGGCCTCGCGTCGTTCCCCCAGAAGGCGCTCGCGGACAAGCAGCACAACGACGGCTTCCACGGCGGCATGCTCTGGTTCGAGGTCAAGGGCGGCAGCGCCGCGGGCCGCAAGCTCATGGACACGACGCCGCGCCCCTGGTCCCTCTGCGAGAACCTCGGCGCCGTCGAGTCCATCATCACGTGCCCGTCCGTGATGACGCACGCGAACATGCTCGCCGAGGACCGGCTCAAGGTCGGCATCACCGACGGCTTCATCCGCATCTCCTGCGGCATCGAGGACGCCAAGGACCTCATCACGGCCCTCAAGACGTCGCTCGACGCGCTCTAGGCGCCCGCGCCGCCGCCGCGCGCCGCGCGCCCCGCCGCGCCGCGCCGCGCGCCGCGCCGCGCGCGCCGCGCCGCGCCCCCCGGCGCCCCGCCCGGGTCCCACCGGCGGCCGCCGTTACCGCGCCGCGGGAACTTTCGGGGCATAGGGGCGCGGGGGGAGGGCGCCTAGAGGAGGCGGTTGCGCGTGTCCTCGAGCTTCTTCGCGACCTCGCCCGGCGTGCGGTCGAGGTCCTCGGCGACGCGCTTCTGCGCGTCGAAGGGGAGCCGCGCGAACTCGGCGCAGAGGTCGCCGTCGGCGACGTCCTTGACGGGGAGGTAGTAGGACCGGTAGGACACGTGGTCGCGGCCCGTGACGGGCGCGAGCTCCTGCCGCATGTGCATCTCGAGGTGCGCGAAGAAGTCGCGGTCCTCGCGGCTCGCCGACGGCACGAGGGCGCCGACGCCGCCGCTCACCGTCGCGTAGACGATGCCCTCGGCGCCGCCGGCGACGAGCGTCGCCTTGCGGAGCGCCGTGACGACGTCGCCGACGTGGTAGTGCGCGAGCTGCGTGAGCTTGTTCGGCGCGCCGCCGTTGCGGCCGTTGTCCCAGGCGTCGCCGGCGGCGTCGTCGACGTCGTCGGAGCACTCGGGCCCGAGGCGCAGCACGGCGACGTTGCCGAACTTGTCCGCGACGGCGACGGTGTCGTAGTCGAGCGGCGCGAACGCCGTCACGCACCGGCCCACGGGGTCGTCCGCGAAGACCGCGAGCCGGTTGCGGTCGCGGACGTAGCGCGCGAGGTGCACGGACATGGCCGCGTCGGCGACGAAGATGCGGTCGCCGACGACCTCGACCTTGGTGATGAGCGTCGGCGCGAGCGCGGCCTCGGTCTTGCGCAGGAGCTTGCGCTTGCCGAGGTCGTACATGCGCAGCGTCGCGCCCACGGCGACGAGGAGCCGGCCCCGGAACTCCGCGAGGCCCAGGGGCACGTCGTCGACCTCCGTGCGGTGCAGCAGCACGAGCCGCGACTCGAGGAGCCGGTAGACGTGGACGTAGCAGCCCTCGTGCGCGCGCGGGTGGAACGTGAGCGACCGCGCGGTGCCCACGGCGACGAAGACCTCGCCGCCGCGGCCCGCGAAGGACACCGTCGCGCAGGACAGCGCGGCCTCGCTCTCGCCGAGCTCGAGGAGCTCGAGCGTCCGGCCCGCGACGGGGTCGACGACGCGGACGCACGACGCCCACTTGCCGTCCGCGGGCGGCGTCGGCCCGCAGACCGCGACGCGCGGCGCGCCGTCGCCGCCGCCGCCGGCGCCGTCGCCGAGGTCCATGTCGTCGCCGCCGCCGCCGCCGCCGCCGCCGCCGCCGGCGGCGGGCGCGCCGGCGAGGCTCTGCGCCGCCGCGAGCGCGCGCCGCTCCGCGTCGTTGTACGCGTGCTGGTCCGCCTCGACGACGAGGAGGTGGCCGCCGCCGGGCAGCACGGCGAGGCGCCGCGGCGTGTAGCGGAGGGGCAGCGCGGACTGGTTGAAGGTCTCGCCGAGCTTGTCGGGCACGAAGATGCGGAGCGTGCTCCCCGCGATGGCGACGACGCCCTCGGGGCACTGCTCGCTCTTGAAGCCCGCGGCGTGCTCGAGGGCGTCGTAGCTCAGCGGCGCGGTCTCGAGGCGCCCCGCGTGCGCGTAGCAGAGCCAGGCCCGCGACGACAGCGCGAGGAGGCCCGGCGCGCCGCCGACGTCGACGCGGAAGAGGCGCACGGCGCGCGACCCGAGGAAGCGCGCGCGCGCGTCGCCGAGCTGGCCCGTGGACGCGTCGACGGCCGCGCGCTGGAGCACGCCGTTGGCCAGGCCCGCGGCGACGCCGAGGCGGCCGTCGGGCGTTTCGCAGAACCGGACCGACTCCGCGCGCGCGCCGAGCTGCATCGTCGCGACCTGGACGAGGAGCTCGTCCGGCGCGAGCGACAGGAGCCGGAGGGACCCGTCCCAGCCGCCGAGGGCGAGGAAGGGCGCGCGCGCGCGGCCCGCCGGCACGACGCCGACGTCGAGGCACGCGACCTCGACGCCGAGCTCCTTGGTCCCGAGCTCCGCGAGCGCGCCGGACGCGTCGAGCTCGAAGTAGATGACCTCGCCGCCCGCGAGCGCCGCCGCGACCTGGCGCTCGTTCGCCGCGGCTTTCTCGATGGCCTTGCGGCCGGGCGTCTTCCACTCGGAGATGCGGAGGTCGCCGCGGACGTGGCGGATGCCCTCGCCGTGGACCTGGAGGAGCGCGTTGTCCGCGAGGAGCGCGACGTCGAGCGTCGGCGCCGTCGCGAGGAAGCCGCTGTCCGTGACCTCCTCGACGGTCTCGCCGATGGAGAGCACGAGCGTCGCGTTCGTGAACGACACGACGATGTACTTGTCGTAGGGCTCGTCGTGGCGGCCCCGGACCGTCCAGACGGCCGAGGGCCGCCCGGGCAGCTCGGACACGGCCATCTCGGACACGGCGACGCCGTGGCGCAGCACGCGGAGCGAGCTCCGGTGGCCCTTGCCGCAGAGCGCGTAGACCTGCGGCGCCTCCTCGCCCGCGAGGTCGCCGCAGTACACGTCCGTGATCGCGCGGCAGCTCGCGGGCTCGTCGAGGAGGAGCAGGTTCTTCGGCCGGTCCGACGCGACGAAGGTCGGCGCGACGGTCGCCGCCGACGCCGCGTCGTCGCCGAGCTCGGGGTCGTGGACGGCCGCCGCGGCCGCGGCGCCGTCGTCGTCGCCGATGCCCTGGAACTGGAAGAGGCCGTGGTCGCCGAACTCGGCCGCCGCGTAGAGGAGGCCCGTGCGCGTGATGCAGAGCGCGGCGCAGGGGAAGATGCAGTCGAAGACGGACGCGCGGACGTCGGAGACGCCCGCGCCCGGCGCCCACGCGAGCGTGACCTTGTAGAGGTCGCCGAGCTCTGATTGGAGGAGGAAGAAGAAGAGCTCGCGCTGCCGGTGCGTCGCCGTCGCCGTGATCAACAACCCCCTATTCGCCGGGTAGCCGAGGCGCCGCGGCAGCGGCGCGCGGACCTCCGCGTGGCCCTCGTGCTTGTACGCGACCCAGTTCTCGCCGCAGACGAGCACGCCGCTCGGGCCCTCGTCGCCGCCGGGCACGGCGACGAGCAGGTTCGCCGTGCGCGACACGGGCTCGGACCAGCGCCGCGTGACGTGGTTGAGCCCGAGGTCGAGCTCGTAGTACGTGAGCATCTTCTCCGTCTCGTCGACGGCCTCGCCCGACGCGTCGGCGTCGCAGTCGCCGTACTCGAGCTCGAGCGCGGCGAAGGTCGGGTTGTCGAAGCCCACGTCGAGCGCGACGGCGTGGAAGCACACCGTCGCGGCCTTGTGCGCCTCGAGTGGCGACCCGATGGTCAGGTTCGACGACGCGTCGCGGTTCATGACGTAGACGAGCTTCTGCTTCTCGACGGCCGCGACCATGAGCGCGCGGCCCCGGGGGTCGCAGCAGACGTACTGGCCGGGCACGCCGCGGCGGCAGCCCGTCTTCCCGAAGACCTCGCAGTGCACGCGCGCGAAGGAGTTCGCCGCCGCGTCGAACTCGACGACGGCGACGGCGCCCGCGTCGCTCCCGACGACGACGTAGTCGCGCGACCCGCCCGTGAGCCGGAACGGCGCGAGCGACCGGATGACGCTGAACGTCGGCGTCGTCGCCACGCTCACGACCTTGCCGCTCGCCTCGTCGGGCCGCAGCAGCTCGAGCACGCCGCCGGGCCGCGCGACGACGATCTCCTGGGCCTTGGCCGCGCTGAACTGGCCGTAGATCGCCGCGACGACGCCGCCCGGCGGCTGCAGCGTGAACGAGACGAAGTGCATGGTCCGCGGGCGACCGCCGATCCGGCGGTGGCCGGAACTGCGACGCGGACCGCGACGATATGGGCACTCGCGAGCTCGCGGCGCGCGCGGGCGGCGCTTGCCGGAGTTTGGCGCTTTTGGCGCGGAGGTGACCGCTCGCGCGCGCAGGCAAGACGCGCTCGCGGGCGGCGAGTCGATGGGCTTGTGTCTTGCAAGGGCAAGCTTGGCCGGCACCGATGCCGGGGGTCCCTTGCGTGGCTAGCGCTGTAGACGGGCCCCTGCACGACGGTCCGGCCCCGGGACGGGGGGCGGGGACGGCGGGCACGGGGGTTCCGGCACGGTAAATGCGCTCCGGGCACGCGGCCCGGCACGGGCCCGGCACGCGGCACGGCACTCGGCACGGGCCCCCGGGCACGGGCCGGGCACGGGCCACGCGGCCCGGCACGGGCCCGGCACTCGGCACGGGCCCCGGGCACGGGCCGGGCACGGGCCGGGGAGGCCCGGCACGGGCCCGGCACGGGGCCCCGGGCACGGCCCGGGCACGGGCCGGGGACGTGGCCGGGGACCGCGGCACGCACCGTTGTGCAGGGCCCCCTCTGTAGCCCTCCGCTCTTACCCGCACGAACGAGATTCTTAGGCGCGCGCGGAGAGGGCCGCGAGCGCGCGCTTCGCGAGCTCGTGGACGAGCTGGTCGGCCATCTCGAAGACGCGCTTCGTTGTCCGGCGCCACTGGCACTTGAAACCCATATGGTTATCGTCGGAGGCTCATATTTCTTCACACGGGTCGATTTGCGCTGCGCAGCCGCCATTCTAAGACGCTTTTTCGCCACAGCATCCCCACGGCAACATCGCGGGTTGCGGGCACGATGAGGCCTACGATGGCGGAGGCCTTGGCGGCACACGCGACCAGCTTCGAGGAGGCGTTCGGGTCGCTAGTAGGCCTCCCGAGGAGTCCTCCGAGTCCCGACGACGCGCGCGCTTCCCCCTCGCGCCGGGCCGGACGATCATCGAGTTAGTCGGCGCCTTCGCCCGCCGGCGCGCGCGGCCCGCACCAGACGCAGGCCGTCGGGTCCGCGTCCGGCGGGCACGGCGGCAGCCCGTCGCCGGCGTCGCCGTTTCGCGGCGCGGCCGCGAGGTTCGCGGCGCGGCGGCTCGCGGCGTCGGGCGCCGCCGCGAGGTCCGGCAGCGTGACGACGCGGACGCACTGCTTGTCGCCGACGTAGAGGCGGCGGATCTCCGGGCAGAGGTGGAGCGAGTTGGGCGCGGAGAAGGACGCGGCCGCGCCGACGCCGTCGGCGGAGTCGCCGGCGCCGCCGCCGGCGAGCGTCGACACCGTGCGGCCCCGGAGGCAGCGCACGCGCCGGTTCTCCTGGTCCGCGACGTAGAGCGCGCCGTCGGCGTCGAGCGCGACGGCCGTGGGCTCGTCGAAGCGCGCGCCGCCGGCGTCGCCGTCGGCGTAGCCCCGCGTGCCGTCGCCGGCCACCGTCGTCACGGCGCCGGAGGCCAGGTCGAGGCGCCGCACGCAGTGGTTGCCGCTGTCGGCGACGTAGAGGCAGTTCCGCGCGGCGTCGAGGCAGACGCCGCGCGGCCCCGCGAAGGACGCCGCGGGCCCGACGCCGTCGGCGCGGCCGCCCCGGGGCCCGCTGCCCGCCAGCGTCGTCACGTCGCCGCGCCGGATCACGCGGATCTTGCACCCAAAGTACTCGGACACGTAGACGTCGCCCGTCGCCGGGTGCGCCGCGACGCCCCAGGGCCCGGCGAAGGTCGCGCGGTCCGCGCGGCCGTCGCGGCCGCCGGACATGCCGCAGCCCGCGAGCACGCGGAGCACGCGCCCGGACGCGCCGCAGACCTCGACGACGCGGCAGCGGCGGCTGTCCGTGACGACGAGGCGGCTCGACGCGGCGCCGGGCCCGACGGCGGCGAGGGCGACCATCTGCGGGAGCACGACCTCGGCGCTCCGCCAGGCCTCGCTCGCCGTCACGGGCCGCGGCGACGCGCCGTCGCCCGGCGCGTCGCCGTCGCCGTCGCCGTCGGACACGGCCGCCGACTCGTCGAGCTTGATGACGCGCTTCCGCCCCCGGTCGACGACGAAGACCGTCGGCGTGGCGGCGCCCGGCGGCGCGCAGCCCGCGGCGACGCCCGACGCGAAGCCCAGGGACAGCGGCGACCCGGCGACGGCGCCGGCGAGGGCCCCGTCGCCCCCGGGCAAGCGCGCGACGAGCTCCATCGTCCGCACCGTGCCGGGCATACCCTCGGCAGAGGCCGAGGTGGGCGGCGCCAGCCGCGCCCGCTTAGGCGGGGGTTCGAGGCCGGCCATGGCGCGCCCCGCGCGGCCGCGGGCGTACTCTACGCGGCACAGCCCGGGTTTTCGAGGCCAATTTTTTTTGAGCTTCGCGGACGTGTTAGACGTGGGTCGTGGGTCGCGTCGACGGACGTGGCGTAGTCCAACGCCTCCTCCTCGGGCACGGCGCGGGAGCTCTCGAGGTCGACCTGGTGCCCGCGATGGTGGACGAGATGCCGACACCAGAGACGTGGCGTGGCGCTTCCCTCCTTCAGCCGCGGAAGACTGTTGCCCCGGCGACAGTCTGAGTTTCCCCTAAGAAGATACCGAGATACTCTCGCGAGAACGCAAAATTTAACTTATATGATACCTCTCTTCAGCCCAACCAGTCGCTAGCGCTTAGCTCCCGCCGTCGCCCCCCTCGTGGGCGTCGCCCCAGACGAGGAACGCGCCGCTCCGCCCCTCCTCGCGCGCGGCCTGGCGGTGCTTCGCCTCGACGCGGGCCGCCTGCGTCGCGAGGTCGTCGCGCGCGTAGCCGATCGTCGCGCGCTTCGGCGCCATCATGTCGAGGAGGCCCGACGCCATGTCGAAGTGGCTCGCGCCGCCCGCGGCGCCGCCGGGCGCGGGCTCCGGCGGCGGCCGCGCGCCGCCCGGCGGCGCCGCGTCCTCGAGGGGCTGGAGCGTGTCGGCCCAGGCGAGGAGGTAGGACGTCACGCGCGTCAGGCACAGCACGACGTAGTCGTCGCCCGCCTGGAAGGCGCCGTAGGCGGGGCCGCCGCGCCCCGCGGGCGCCGGCGCGACGCGCGCGGGCGCGCGCGACGACGTGAGGCCGTCGAGGATGCCGAGCGTCGTGTTCTTGCGGAGCCGCGCGGGCGCCGCCGCCGCCCCGCCGGACGCGGCCGCCGCCGCCGCCCCGCCTGACGCGGCCGCAGCCGCCCCGCCAGACGCGGCCGCGGCCGCCCCGCCAGACGCGGCCGCCGCCGCCGCCCCGCCGGACGCGCGGGGCGGCGCGAGCGTCCGGAGGCGGCTCGCGACCGAGGGCCGGGCGCCGCCGCGGTCGGCGACCGCGGCGGCGGCCGCCGCGGTCGCCGCCGCGGCCTCGCGGGCCGCCGCGGCCTCGTCGGCGTCGTCGCGCGCCGCGCGCCGCGACCGCTCGAGGTCCGCGGCGGACACGACGAAGCCGAGCTTCGCGGAGTCGACGGCGAGGCCGAGCGCCGCGGGCGCGCCTTCGTCGCGCGCCGCGCGCCGCGCGACGAAGGACGACGCGCCGCGCTCCGTCATGCGCACGGTCTTCGTCAGGGACCCGCGCGCCCCGCGCGGCCCGTCGCCGAGGCGCCGGCCCGGCGCCGCGGCCGCCCGGGCGCGCTGGAACGAGCTCCGGAGGCGCCGCAGCACCGGGGGCTCGCCGTCGGCCGCGAGCGCGGACCGCACGGCCTCGTCCTCCTCGTCGCTGTCGGCGCACGACGCGGGGGAGTCGCGCCGGAGGCTCTCGCGCCGGAGGCTCTCGCGCCGGAGGCTCTCGCGCCGGAGGCTCTCGCGGCGCCGCGTCGACGCGCGGCGGATCGCCGCGTGCGTGAGCTCGTCGGGCAGCGCGCCCGCGAGGGGGTCCGCCCCGCCCTCGAGGCGCGCGGGCGCGACGCGGTTGTAGAAGACGGCGACGCCGAGGCGGCCGGGCACGGGCGCGGCGAGCGCGGACGTCGCGTCGTAGTGCCGCCTGGGCGGGACGCGGGCGATTCGACGGCGCTCCGACGCGGGCGCGCCGCGCGCGCGCGTTCCGGAAGGCGCATCTCCGCTCCGGGACCGTTCCGAGAGATGACCGCTCGTCCAAGACTCAGCCGAAACGCGCGGGAAACGGCCGGGGGAGGCGTCGGGCGCGTCGCGCCCCGTTCCCGCCCCGAGCGCCGCGGCAGGTCCGCGCGGCGGAAGAAGCAGGCGTCGTCGGCGACGTCGGCGACGACGAGGATCTCCTGCGTCGTGAAGCACGCGCCGGCGAGGCCCTCGTCGTCGGGGCCGCGGTAGATGTGGAGCGCGGTCCGCGCGCGCGCGTCGCCGCCGCCGTCGTCGTCGGGCGGCTCGCGGCGCGCGTGCCAGCGGCGCACGAGCTGGCACTTGGACGCGTCGTGGGCGAAGAGGACCACGGCCTCCGTTTTGGCGATGTCGCAGAGGCCCCGGAGGTACTCGTCGAAGAGGTGGTAGAGGTCGACGGTCCCGCCGCCCGTCCCGCCGCCGAGCCGCCCGCCCTCGGCCCGCCGGAGCGCCGTGGAGAGCAGCTGGAGCGCGTCGACGGCCTCGGGCGTCTCCTCGAGCATCTCCTCGTCCGTGAACTGCTCGAGCGCCTCGACGGCCGCGCGCCGCGCCTCCGCGGCGGCCTCGTCCGCCGACGCCGCGCGCGGCCGCGGCTCGGCCTCGGCGGCGGGGCCGCCGTCGCCGCGCGCGCCGCCGCCGCCGCGCGGCTCGGCGGCGGCGCCGCTCCGCCGCGGGCCGTCGCCGCCGGCGGCGCCGGCGCCGCCGGTCGCGCGCCGCAGCAGGCGCAGCTGGGACTCGCGGCCCTGCTGGACGATGCCCTCGAGCGTCGACGGCCGCCCCGACGCCGCGTCCTCGCTCCGCTTCTCGAGCGCGGCGCGGCGGACGGCGGCCGCGTCGACGGACGACCCGCCGGGCCCGAGCTTCTTGGACCGCCTCGCCGCCGACTTCCAGCTCGGCCGCGACAGGCGCATCGTGAAGCCGCCGCGCCGCGCGCCGCCGTCGCGCCGCCCGCCGAGGAGCGACCCCGCGCCGCGCGCGACCGCGCCCTTCCACGAGCGCCGCGCGGAGGCCGACGCCCGCCAGCTCCCGCGGCCGCCCGAGGCCCGCGTCGCCGCCCGCTCCTCGGCGGCGCGCCGCTTCCTCTCCGCGGCGGCCGCGCGGCGCTCCCGCTTGTCCAGGCCGCCCGCGAGCGTCGCCTTGACGCGCGCGAGGACGCCGACGAGGGGCGACGCGGAGACCTGGACGCGCTGGAGCGCCGCGTAGAGCGCCGACGACTCGCCGATCCTCGCGCTGCCCCGGTACTGCTTGTACATGGACATGAGGCCGCTGCCCCGGCCCTTGCCGCCGCCGCCGCCGCCGGCCGCGTCCGGGGGCTCGGGCGCGCGCGGCGCGCAGACGCGCGGCTCGTCGTCCCAGAGGCGCTCCGCGACGAGCGCCGCGGCGGGCGCGGCGCCGCCCGCCGCGGGCTCGCCGCCGCCGTCGCCGTCGCGGGCGCGCCCCGCGGCCCGCGGCCGCGGCTTCCGCGGCGCCGCCGCGGGCCGCGCGTCGGCGGGCGCCGCCGCGGCCGCGTCGCGGAGCCGGCCGGCCGTCCGCGGCCGCGGCTTCCCCGCGGGGGCCGCCCGGAGCCGCGCGGCGGCGGAGCCGCGGTCCGCGCCGCGCGCGGACGCGGACGCGGGCCGGCCGGCGCGCGCGCGCGCGGACCGCGGCTCGTCGAGCGTCGCCGCGTCGCCGCCGCCGGCCCGGCGCGCGTCGGCCATGCGCCGCGCGTTCGCCGCCGTCCGCCGCGCGCCCGCGTCCGCGTCGCCGCCGCCGAGGAGCGCGGCCCCGAGGCCGAGGTCGCGCGCCAACCCGTCGACGGTCGCGCCGGCGGCGTCCTCGGCGGCGGCCCCGGGCGCCTCCGCCCGCTCCGCGCTCGCCGTCGCCCGGGGCGCCTCCCCGCCGGCGGCGGACCGCGGGGGCGCCCGCGCCGTCGCGCCGCCCGACGAGGACTGGCCCGCGTCGCCGCGCGACGGCGCGCGGGCCG